CCCCCCCACTTACCAATTTTCTATCCATCGTCAAATTTTTTCAATCATACTCATCCCTTTCATTTTTGCACTTAAGGACAATAAAATAAGATGAGAGACAGTTGAAAGAAAAAAAACAAGAATAATGTAAAAATGTTATAAACTAAAAAAGAAAAGTTAATTACAAATATCGCACCAACTGTTCAGTTTGCTCAAATTGCACTTTAACAAAAATCTTTTCCATTAACCGGTAACTCGACTTACCACACCGGCAACCACAACGAAGAAATACGAAGAAACAACCATTGAATGTGACATTTGAAGCATCGGAGAAATGCGGAAAGCAAGAGGACAAATACAAAAGAGCAGGTAACAGCAAAAATACTAAGTAAAGCATTCCCGAGTCAAAAAAGTGCTCGTCAGATGATTGCTGCTGTTGTTTTTGTTGTTGTTGCTTTTCTTTGTTTTTGTTTTTGTTGTTGTCGTCGTTGTCTCCTCCATCATCGGTATCATCGTTGTCGCGGACGTTGCATTTCTCCGAAAGATGTAAGAAACAACAAAGACAGCCTCAGAAATTACCGAAAGAGTACTCTGAACAGTTTGTACTGCTATTGCTACTGCTACAGCAATCATCATCTTCATCTTCATCGCCACCACTACCGTTTGCTATCATCAGCACGTTCAATCACCATTTCCATTACCATCACCATCTGCATCAGCATCAACAAACGGCATCGTAAGAACCGTCCTGCTTTTTTCCACAGAGTTTCCAAAAACTCACTTCAATTTCGATGGTTCACTTAAATTTTCGATCAATCAAAAGTCCCTACACGACAGTAATTCAGCCAGCCAGTCCAATCAGTAAGAATACTTTCAAATAAATTCAGAAACGGCAAGAAAAAGAAGACGACGATGAATGAGACGACAAAGTCGAAGAAAGGAAAAAAAAAGCAATAACAAAGGTCTCACTAAGTGGCTGAGTAACAGAACGAAGGAACAAAAACAAATAACATTCACCTTTTATCGAATTCTGATAGAAAAAAGAAGACCAATTTTTAATATGTTATAGAATTAGGATTCTTAGAAGATAGGATAAAATAAAATAAAATAAAATAAAATAAAATAAAATAGAAACCATTTTGACATCAAAATCTAAATTCTCATTTCTTACTTCCTTTTCTTTTCTTTTTGCTTTTCTTTTTATCCCCCCTAATTACTACTTTCATTTAATTTCATTTCTATATCACATTTCTGTAACACTAAAAAACATCTAAATTTTTTTCAATTTAGCGGTATTCCTTTCTTTGTCCACACCCCTTGTCATTTTATTCCACCAACTTCCCATTCCCCGCAGCTTTTCTTCGTTTTTTTTTTTTTTCGTTTCACTGTTCGTTTAGAAAAAAAGACTTAATTTTTATCAATTTTTTACCAAAAACTAGTTACCTGTCTCCAGCTATTTTTTCCCATAATCAATAACAAAAGTCAAAGTTGTCAACACGAATGAAAACTAAAAAAAAAGTGAAATAAAATTAGATGGTAGTGCATGAAAAAAATATCTGAATTACAGATGAAGGCCCAAAACTTGAATTTATAGCTGCAAACAAGAAGATGACACTGATAAATAAAAAAATTTTAGAAAAAAAATCTACAGTTAAAAAATTTTTAAACAAAGAAAATAGTGCAAAAACAAAGAAAAAAAAGACTAAACTGCAGCAATAACTGCAAAATCATCAGGATTAGTGAAAAAGTTAGAATCAATATCAGCATCAGCATCAGAATCAGAATCAGCATCAGTAATCATCACTGCCATAGACAACTACAACAGTAAACAAGTTTCATAAAAAATCAACAAAATTATTTTCAAAAATTTAACTACCAACAGTCCTTTTGCCTTCAAAAAGTAATACTTCCGAATTGAAGAAGTAATCTTTCTCACATAATTCTGTTATCTCGATTTTATTTACAAACAGATAAAACATCCTTCTTTAAATGTTCTCAACTTTCCTCAAAACAGTTATGTTTCTGCACCAACAGTAGCAAAAGTAAAAATCAAAAACCCGGCGATAAACAAACAACCAAATCACAGTAATCAATCAGATGCCTTAAAAAAAAAATCAAAACAATCAAAACCAATGACAGAAAAAATTTAAGCAAAATTTTCGAGTCTCAAGCCTATCAGTAAGAAAATAGAATGAGAGAAAAAAAGATGAGAAGAAAAAAAGTGAAACTAAATAAGCAGCAGAAAGCTTATTGGCAACTAAATGACGTATTCTGAACTAATTTTATAGTCTTCCGCCTACTTTTTTTTCCTTTTTTGCCACTTCTCTTTGAACCCTTTCAGACCTTTGAAAAAAAAAAAAAAAAACAAACTTCTCATCTGTTTTGGTTCTCAGAAACCACTATTTTTAGCCTTTAATAAGTCACCTCCATTTTTTGTTCATTCAATTTTTTGCATTCCTCTCACCCTTTCATCCCTCTCTCCTGCAGCTGAAAAAATATTGCATCTAGTTTCTGAAATTTATAAAAAATAACTTTCATTAATCAAAACTCAACAAACAGTTTCTACAAATAAACTATGTAAATCATTGAAAAATTTCGTTTATTGCTCTTTTTGCTTCAAAAAAACATTAGCTTCATTACCCCACAATATAATTAATACACGTTGGTATTTATTCTATAAAAACACACCACTCCTCCTCTCTCCTCCGCAACCCTCGTGCAAAAAAAGCCTACTAAAATTATTGCCATCACAGCCATTAACAACAACCAAACACTGCACATACACTATACAAAAGTTTTCCAACTTTCAATTTGTTTTTTTTTTTTTTTTTTAATGTCAAAATAGAAGACAAAGATAAAAAAAATTCTTTTTTTGGAAACTAAAACTGACCAAACAGTTTCACTGTATGGTATTCAAATTTAATGAAACGACAGTAACGACAACAACAAACAACGACAACGACAATGACAATGACAATGACGATGACGACGACAACGACGACGACGACGACAAAAGAAGTCAATTGTTCGTCGCAGAAAGCCGTCTGTCAAAATTCAATGGGTGGTGGCTCATAGGTCAGCAAACAACAAGAAAAAAAATTCACAAAAACTTATCATCTATTTTAACAACAGAAATTGTACAAAAATTTCACTTTTTCTATCCTCCCATATCCCATTTTCTGTCTTTTTTTTTGCCGTTTAATAATTCATGACTTTTTCTACCTTTTTTTCCTTTTTTTTTTTTTTTTAATTTTTTTTTCAATAAATCAAACATGGAAGTGCAAAACATTTTAGTAAAGATTTTTTAAAAAAAACCAAAAAAAAAGAGAAAAAGTTCAACTCAAATGCAATGTTTAATTAGCTGCTATTGCTTGATCGATGACTTCATCATTATACCCAATAATTACAAAAGCAGAATAAAACAAAACAAAAAACAAAAAAACAAAAAAGAAAAAAAGAAAGAAAAGAAAAAGAAGAAAAGCGTAAAAAAAAGATAATTCAAATTCAAGAATGACGTCAATACTGAACAGAAAAAAAAAAAAAGAATGACAAAAATTAGAAAAAAAGAAAGCGAAGAAAAAAAAAAAACAAAAAACGAAGAAACAAAAAGACGAAGAGAAAATTTTTTACATAACCAAATTCCAAATTAGCAAATCATCAACAAACTGTTACTTAGCTGCTTGTCTAGTTAGATTTTTCAGCTAGTTCCAGTAACCATCGTCATCATCATCGTCATCAATGTCATCATCTGTACATCACAGAGAATATGCAGCAACAAGAACAGTTCCTCTCTTTCCGACAAACTCATTTCAGTTTGTTTGTTCCCTCTTTCCCCTACTCCACCCCCCTACCCAACTTCAGCCCATCACGTTTATGACATCGTCGTCGTCGTCATCGTTACTGAACAAAGTTGTCTTTTCTAGTGCTATTGCCTATGACAATAACGGCATCATTACTACTTATACGTTGAAGAACCAAAAGATGAGAAAGAAGAGTGGTGTAACAAAAGAAACAAAAAACGGACAGAAACGAATCGTGGATTCAGTTCAGTAACCAACAAATAACGATGAACGGTGCAGATTTGTGCGAAGAGGCACTGAAAATGATATTCTGGAAAAGTGTAAA